CTGATTTTCTAACCCGAGAATTTTTGCAGGGATCCCATGGCGGACAGGAAATCTTCTAAACTCAGTACCTCTTCTAAACTTGGGAGAGACACTAAAAAATAATTAACCTTGTCAAGACCATTAGCCTTGTCTAGCCCACAAACATCCTCTATCCAAATTGTCAATCGTTATCAACCTCTTGGTAATCCTTGTCATATAAGACCAGTAGTCCAGTCCACTTTGGTGGCCCCATCTACTTTCCTTCAAATGGCCCAACAAGGCCCAACCCAATTTGTTGGTCCTTCTTCGACCATTAAAAATAACCAACTAGTTACCCCTAGTCAATTAGTTAATCTTTACCTAGTATCTAGTTCCCAACCAACTTTTGTAGCCCAAAAAGGCCCTAAGGTTGATTATGTTAAGAAAGACGAACCCCAACTAGTATTCGCTATTGAACCAATCCATGCTCACCTGAGCAACCCAAAAGACTTAGTAAATGCATATCTCGAACCAGGGTGGAACTTCATCTCATCTGACCCAGAGAAAACATTTACTTTTTACCAGGATATTTTGTTTTTTACCCAGTCTATTTCTATCAAACCCATATTTGATAAGAAAAAGCTCAGTAAAGTCATTTATCATTCCCTATATATTTTAAAATTTATATCTCTCAAAGAATGGGGATCTCATCCTTCATTGCTTAGAGACCTCGAGAGATATGAAAAGAGGTTTAGCTACTATGATTACATTGATTCATGGTATAAACTTCTCCTCTATCAGGATGAGTCATTAACTCACTCTTGGTTCATTCAGTTCGATAAGAATTTCAAGAGCCAAATTCCTGCTTGGTTCGCACAGTGGTGGCATCTTCATGGCCCCATACTTGAAATTCTTCCCCTGGACCTACAAGATCAGGTCACTTATTTTGCCTCTGTTTATAAACCTTGTTTTTATGACATAACTCATTTCACGAGTCTGTTAATTTTCTTTACTCAATATAAACTTCCTTGGATCTATAAGTGGTCTTGGGAAATTTGTTCTAACTTCGTTTGCAGGCAATCCAGTGTGAAATGGTGGCCCAGGTTCCAACATGACTGTATTATTGTCCAAGTCAAAAAGGAGTTCCCAATAAAGGTTCCAGCATCAGTTACAGTATCAACTATTGCAGCTACCCTTCCACCAGTAACTCCACCACCAACAAAGGCTCTGCCAGCTCTTAGGGTTTCTACACCCGAGAAAACCCTGGCTCCAGCCCAGCCTAAAGCAGCAAAACATAAGCTAAAGAAGTCATCCTCTAAGGACTCTAGTAAGCCCTCAGAATCCTCGAAGCAGTTAAAACAGAAGTCATCTGAGCTCATTGCCTTGGCCTAGAAACTTCTTCAACAGGCAGCAAGTTGTAGTGATTCTTCCTCACCGACATCATCTACAGGGTCCATTAACCCATTTGTAGATTTGGGTTAAGATAACCAAGATCCATTTGCTGGAATTGATGACCTCACTCCTGACCTAGCTTCTCCTTGATTCTTCTCCTTATGCGTGATAGCTTTACTCACTACTTTCTTCATCTAAATAAAGAAAAGTTGTCTATTACATATAATGTTAAGATATCAATCAATACATCAGTCCTTTCCCCAAGAAAAGTAGCTGACAATACTCATGTGCTCTGCTTTTCCACCGTAAGCAGATTCTTTTCTCCCGCGGCAGGAACCCACTTAGCACTCTGCCATAATTTTCAGACATCAGGACCCACTAAGAGTCTTTTGTCAAAAGTTACCCAAGTAAAAGTATTTCACCTATACTTTTCCACCAAAAGTGAGAGTGAAAGTATTTTAAGCAGAAAAGGACATCAGGGCTAAAGATTCCTTCAGAAATCCTTACTCCTATATAAAGGTCTCCTCTGGAAAGGAGGAAACAAGTTTTTTGCCTAAGGCAAAATTCATTACACACCTAGCAAAAACACTCCTACCTCTACTATAAACCTTTATTTTGAGATCTCTCATAATGATGCAAATGAAGAGTTTCTCTCATATCCCCTTTCACTACTAGCCCATTTAGTGTTAGTATTGTAAGTATCTTAGTTTTATTTCATATTGTAATTTTGTGTAATTTTGTTTGTATTTTCCTTCTACATCTTGTGATTCTCCTTGAACTCACACACACACACACACACACACACACATATATATATAAGATAGAAAGAAAATTCTAATCACGAAAAATCTATGAAGAAGATTTAGTTTTATTTGAATTTTTAATTGTGTATTTTATATAATAACTAGGGGAAAAAATCGAATATTGAATTTGAATGCAAAATAATCAAGCACTGAATTCGGACACGTACTAAACTAAAGCCTAACCTTGCCATATATCATGTGTCTAAAGGCACTGTACATAGTTCTTAAACACAAAATAATCAAACAATGAATATAAACATGCATTAACCTGAAAATCATTTGGTCATTTTTAATGTCATAAATTTAGTGAAAGGTCAAAATGTGGATACTCTGTCAAAATGTAAATACTCTATAAGAATCTTCCAATTTTTCGGCAAAGTATCATCTAAAAATATGATACCACAAATATATCACCTTGTCTACAAAACTTATATATTTCATAATCATAATTAAATCATGTCATATGCACACTGAAATCCAACTATGTATCAATTATCACAACACAATTCTTCCTACACAAACAACTATATTCATACTTGTAAAAGTGATAGACATAACATAAGATTCTTAAAAAATTAAAATAAACCTATAAAATTTTTAAATTACAAACTACTTTAATCACAAAACAAAATGACATAAACTACTTATAAATCAATCGCTATCTCAATGAATGAACAAAAACCAAGCAAGAGGTATTGAATTACATTTTGGGTCACTAAAAAATTTGCTTAATTCAAAAACCATGTAATGAGAGAAATTGAAATCAATGTAAAAAATTTTCAATTTTTTGGCAGGGTATCTTTTGAAAATATGATATCACAAATATATCAACTTGTCTACAAAACTTATATATTTTATAATCATAACCAAATCATGTCATAAGCCTACTAATTGCAAAAAAAAAAATCATTATGTTAACCATCGTCATGCCTAAACATGACTATTTACCAATTGCTTTAGGCATCAAAACAATAATAATCATTGTTCTGCACGTCATAAACCCATAGTTGTGCCTAAACATATAGTAACATTGTAAAATAAACTCATAGTTGTGCCTAAACATAAATAAGATTAAAGAAGCACAACCTGAGTAATAAGGTAGCTTCATAGAACCCGTTCTTGGTCTACGACAACACACACTAAAATAAGTTCTAAATTCTAAATATCACACAAACCAAAGCACAGGAATGACAATAAGACAACAAATTGAATAAGCACAACTCGATATAAGAAATTAACGATATCTCTTTATTCACAACTCGATAAAATATAAGTGGAGTTGTATTCATGGCATTACTAGTATGCACAATTGCCCCATAAATCCTGTAACAATTGCCCCATGATTCCTCTAAATATAGAATCTCATAAAAATTTCAACTAGTATGCACAATTTATATATTTTATCATTCTAAAAGGCTACTAATCGACCCTTAGATTTTTAAAGTCACAATTAAGAACAAATCTAAATGCAACATAACTATAACCTCCATGAACAAACCACTGCTATGAAAATGAAACAAAATTAATAAAAAAAAAATCTTAACAAAGGGAAATAAGAAGAACAACAATGCAAAGATGACATAGAGGCCTAGTAGCAACCAATATTTCAAAGAAACTCACCAGTTTCAACCACAAAAAAAATTAATTTCAAGACCCACATTGACAAATCATATCAAAGAGTAACTGATTGCTATATCAAAGAGTAACCATATGTAACTTTTTGCTTTTAGAGTAACCATATCAAAGATAGCAGTTTGAAATAAAAAGAGTAACCATATCAAAAGCATATTAGAAGCAACATTCTCCATCCCTAGTATAGCTGAATAACAACTGATTGCTTTTAGAGAGAGAAGATATGTATCAGAAGCATTGAACATATATGTACCAAAGCACTAAATAACAAAAACAATTCAGTTTGAAATGAAAAAGACATATAAAGAAGCACAACTCAATTTGATGAATATACAAATGGAAATAAAAAAAAAACCCAAAAACTACAAACCAATAGTGTAACTTTTCTCCAAAAAATAAAAAAAAATCAAAGAAAAATTGTTACTTTTGGCGAATGACGATCAATCTCTGATCTTCTCGTGACTAGTAGCATCATTAATAAACAAAATAAACCTGATCAAAACTCTATACACCCATAAAGAAGAGAAATAAAACTCAGTTGAAAAAAGCCCCCATCATTCTTTTACACATGAAAAAAACCCCCTGCTAGGTTACTGGGTCTTTGAGCAGAAGAGAGATGGGGCTCGGTCTTTGCACAAAAGAGGGATGGGGGGGAATACCTAGCGTTGGCGGTGACTACATCAAACTTGGTGGCTGTGGTTGTGGAGTGTCGATGAGAGAGAGAGAGGCGCCGGTGAGAGAGAGAAAGGAGTGGAGGAAAAGAAGAAAAAAAATTAAAAGATGGGTGAAAGAGGATGGGATGGAGAGGTGAAGGAGGATGAGACTCTACATGTGTGTGCACTGTGAGAGAGAGCATGGGGTAGGGGTTTCACATAGAGGGGGAGGGGGTGACAACTTGCGTGTGATGGGGTGTAGAGAGTAACGTTAAGGGGGAGGTGATGGTTGTGATAAGATGGTTTTGAGGGAGAAAATGTGTGTAGGATAAAAATTCAAATGTTTTTCTCTTTTATTATATAGATTATTAAAACTTGCTATTTTTATTTAAATGAGAATAAATAAATCTTTTGAAATATATTTATCCTTAAAACCCCCCAAAAAAAGATGTTTGTACCTATTACCCTAAAAAATTATAAACCTATACTAACCTCTCAAAATTCCTAAATTTAAGACCTCTTTTCTGATTGGGGCTTAAAGCCCATACTTTACTAACCTTATTCTGGAGCTAACCTTGGTCGTGTCCCTGAAAAGGATATGTGAGAATAAAGAGTGTGCGGAAAAAAATAACTAAGAAAATGGATGGAGTTGTTGGTGATGAGGGTAGGAAGCGGCGGCTGCCAATATGGATGCTTGGTGTGGCTGCCGCTGACCAAGTGAGGGAGGCCGAAAGCAGAGCTGTATCGCATCGCCAGTCCAAATCAAAAGTTGGAATTGCAGGGGCTGAAAAAGAAGTCCTGCTTTGTGACTATGAAAATTTGGGGGTGGAGTCAAGTTTACCGCGTAATACAAAGAAAAGGAGAAGGAGAACAGGGCAAAAAGAAACGGTTGATTGTGATGGTGACAATGTCTGTAAATCTGGCTTTGAGAAGCGAAAACGTGGCAGGGTTGTGGCAAGGGTTAGGGAGGCTGCTCCGCGGAAAATAAGGAAACTAAAGAGTGTGGAGCCTGCAAGTAGTGAGGAAATTGAAGTCCCATCGCCCAGTGAAGACGATGGGGATTTGACTATGGATGATTTAATGAATATTGCTACAGAGGTAAATCACTTTTCCTTGTTAGTACATGAACTGGTAGATCAAAGTGCATCTTTTCTCTAAGACATGCATGACATGAGGCATTTTATCATGGCATTATTTTTGTGCAGTATGTCAGAAGTGATAAGGACATGGCGCAAAAACAGTCATCAACAGGGTCTCCTGATACTCGGCCAATTAACAGATCTCACAAAGATAAAGAACCAGCTTCTTGTCATACATTAGCTGGGAAGGCAACAAGTCCCAATTTGACAGGGAACCCTACCCAAGACATGCTCGATTTGTTTTTAGGGCCTTTGCTAAAGAAGCCCCCTGACAAAGAGAAGGAGGTTGGTTTGATTAGAGAAGATATGACATTTGCCAATGAACTAAGAAAACACAGCCAGAATCTCCTTCTTGGAGAAGAGCCTGTCCCCTTGACGAAGAAGAAGAGCAGTCTCAAGGACAAGGTTGCAATGTTCTTCGACTGAATGAGGTGTCCAGATTGTTAGTACAAATGCCATGTACCATAGCACAGCAAGAAAAAGTATATTTTAGAAATTCTTCTGAACTCTAAAGCAATGATACCGTCGGTCTATTGATCTCTGTGCATTTATCGGGTGCGTATTGTCTACTCCTTGGTCATTCCATTGTTTCATATCCAGGGTGTATTTTTTGTTCATCCTTTTGTAAACATATCAAAATAGGTCATGTTGAAGGAACAATTTTATGACTACTCAGCAGCTATAAAAGTAACTTCTATGTATTGTACATTAGGTTCATATCGGTGTCCAATATCTATGTAGTGATTATTACTTTTTTATACTACATATTTGATCCATATCTTTTTGAAATTACAAAAGTAACTTCCGTAATATAAAGTTTGTTGGGAAGTTTCTAAAAATTTAAAAAAAAATCTTAAAACTCTTTCCCTGCGTGTTGATCACTTATCCCCAACATTTTTCGATCTTGTTGGTCACATGTCTCTAACATGTTTGAAAATATATAGTAATAAAAAAAATTAGACACTCATTTTAGTGTGTCTGTGTCGCAGACTAATACTCAAACTAACACGAAGTGTTTGTGCTTCCTAGTTACTAGTTAATATCTAGTCATTCCCTTCATACATTATTATATTTTTTTTTGAAGGGGGGGGGGGGGACTTATCATCAAATATACTATCAAACTGGCTAAATAACCCAAAAGTCAAAATTTAATATTTGTACAAAGGCTTTCATTGCCTTGAGTTCATGGAAATTACCTTATATGTTGATGCTTAAGTTAATAGGTGAATTGAGTTTGATAATATAAAGAGATTCGAAGACCTTGCCATGCTATTCTAAATTACCATTTGGAGTGAATAGATCATCAATTGGGGAGTGTATGACATAACTGTTAGAGCATCCAGTCTAAAACTAATTGACGGTGGGTGGAGTGACCCCTTAAGTACATAAACTAATCTTAGTGGTCCTAATTATTTAATGTGGTATACAAACTCTCTTAACACCCTCCCTCAGTGAAACGTGGGCTCGTACATGGGGTCAATAAACAAACAAACAACCATGTATACTTGAAAATTCAAATGGGTAAGAGACTTGGTCCTTTGACAGTTTGACCGCTCAAGGCTTAATTCTGATACCATGTTAGATTATCCAACCCAAAACTAATTGATAGTGGGTGGAGCCACCCCTCAAGTATATAAATGAACCCAAAAGTCGAAATTTAATATTTGTAAAAGGCTTTCATTGCCTTGGGTTCATGGAAATTACATTATATGGTGATGCTTAAGTTAATAGGTGAATTGAGTTTGATAATATAAGGAGATTTGAAGACCTTGCCAGACCATTCTAAATTACCATTTGGAGTGAATAGATCATCAATTGGGAGTGTATGACATAACTGTTAGAGTATCCAGTCTAAAACTAATTGGTAGTGGGTGGAGTGATCCCCTAGTATATAAACTAATCTTAGTGGTCCTAGTTATTCAATGTGGTATACAAACTCTCTTAAAAGCCTCTCTTAGTGGGACCTGAGCTTGTACATGAAGCCAACAAACAAACAAACAACCATGCATACATGAAAATTCAAATGAGTAAGAGACTTGGTTTACTGACCGCTCAAGGCTCAACTCTAATATAATGTTGGAGCATTCAACCAAAAACTAATTGACAGTGCATGGAGTCGCCCCTCCAGTATATAAATGAACTTTGGTGGTCCTAATTATTCAATGTGGGAGACAATCTTTTAACAATAACAACTATGAAGCATGGATTCTTCACCAAGACTAATATTCAAAGATGAGAATATAACACAATATAGAAGGGGAAGCGAGACCAATATAGATTAAATTTAAAAGTTAGGAAAGGGAGCAGGAATCCCTATTCGTGGGTTGATGATCAATGCAAAATTCAAGATGTGAGAACAGAGAATATCCTAACAATGAGAGGTGTGGCGTATGTCAAGCACCACTTTGATGGCTGAGGGAACATCTCATTTGGTATGTATTCGAAAGGACCAATTGAAGGCCCTGAGGGCGGAAGGTAGGGTGTTCAAGTTCTCAAGTGATAACCTAATCGGCCTTTTCACTTTATTTAATGGACTGTAAGTTAGTTCAAGATTGAAATTGAACCTGAGAGAGATTAAACTTCTAATAACAATTGGTGTGCCTTCAGTTGAAGAGAGTTGGTCACAAGCAGTGATTATGAGCTCTTTCTTGTTCCAGTTCAGAAGAGGTAATTGCTGCAGTTGCACTAGTGGATTGAATATCTTTTCCTGTGCTTGTCTTGTATTGAGGTAAGTCATGCCTTCTATCTTCTTACTTCGATTAATTTATAGCCAGGAAGCCAAGCCCAGGTCAAATTCGAAGCAAGTGTCTTGTCTTTTTTCAATGAATGCTCGAAAGAACCATTTTTTTAAAGTAATGAGTAAGACCATGACAAAGATATAGCTAGTGATGCCCATTTTTATACTTGTATAATTCTGATGTGGCTGAATAGGACTCGCAAATCTTAAAAACATCTTTCCCACTTTTTTTAATAATTGGCTCCCAATATAATGGATTGCCACGTAATAGAAGACTTTAGAAGCTAGTTACCCTCAACACCTCACAGTCCTCGCCAATTAAGCAATCTTATCATGATGAGAATTTATATCGACAATTAATCTTTTATCTATGTTTACTTTTAAACATGAAATTATGCCAAACACATCGACGATTTTCTTAAAGTTTTACAATCTTTCCTCATCCCATCAAGCAAAGAATAAGTAGAAGTTTAAACGCGAGATAGAAAGTCTCTCCCACTCAATCTCAAATCCCTCCATAAGATTTTAGCTTTCTACCCTTTTAACTAGCCTATTTAATCCATCTGCCACAAGTGAAATTCTAGGTTTTCCCCTAAACAAAACTGTTGTGGTTGTATATCTCTGTCTAAACATTTCACATTCACAAAATTTTGATTGAAACAACATTGTAATTTGACAATTCATTGCCAAATTTTTTTTTGAAAGGACGATTCGAAGAGAAGAAAAAGTCGAATAGACCATTAGATCGAAGATTAGTCTTTATTTAGTCCATGTTAGGTGTTCTTTCCTCTCTATTTCTGGAATCTGATCAGAAGCCTTCATACCCTGAACCATTTAGATCTTTTAGTTGATAGTACACATTGTTTAAAGCTTGCGTTGATACTGCACATTTCAATATTAGACCCATCAAAGGTGTACATTAGATTGGTGATAATCTGCACTTCATAGCTTAAAGTCTATAAACTACTGCATTCTTTAGTAAACAAATCACTTCAGTGATGGAGTGATTTTAAGATTATTATATTTATATTCTAGTGAAATGAAATGCCAAAAATAATTCCACAACATACTGTATTCGTTTAATTATTATGCAGACTTTCTGGGATTTTTTTCGAGAAAAGAAAAATTACAACTGATAATTGTAATTAAACTATTGAGTTGACTAATATGGAAGGGATTATTGTTTCTGTTGGTTTGTGTCGTCCTGAGGGATTGTCTGTTTCAAGTGAGTCTGCGATGGTGGGTGTCATTTTCGGGGTTGTTATGAAGGGGGTGAGGAGATATTAGGAATGGGTAAATCTGTGTATGAGATAGGGATGAAGTTGAAGAGCGCGTCTGGAGTATGTGATTGGTTATGTGGGTTGATGTGAATTGACAAACAACCAACTTCAAGCCTGCTACTCGGCTAGGAATTGAGTTTGAGCGAGCTAGATTTAATAATGAAAATGCCTCTATTAATTTTGCTTTAGGAAAATTTGATGCTGTGACTAGCAGATGATGGGATTGGAAAGTTGCCTTTGGAGGGAGGAGGCAATGGTGTGCTATAGATGCGAAGAGCAAGTGTTTTGTGTTTGATGAAGAAAAATAAGAGATCCTAAAAAATTTCCTAAGAAGAGAGATCTTCCCTTAGTTCCTATAAAGATATGCAAGCAAAAGGGATCGAGAGGAGTGTAAAGAGCAGGAAAAGGAGTTGTCAACTAAAAAACTTGCAGTGAGGGATAAGCTATGATGTTGGGAGCTCTGGAAGGGTAGTTGCGATTGCCTTGGTTAGATATAAAGATTGTTTGTGGATTTTAGGATCTAGAATAAAGAGATGTTTACTAAAAGAGATTCTTTTAAGGCAGATATTGTTGTTTTGTAGAAATCTAAGATTGAGTTTATTGATAGGAAAAATTATAAAGATTGTGTGCGGGTCCAGTATAGAAATTATTGACCTTTTTACCTTCCGAAGAGAGGTTGAGAAAATTGTTATTATGTGGGCTGAAAGATTTGAGGGGGGGATTTATGTTGTTAGTTAGAGGCAAACATAGGTATGGTCTTGGATAGGGATGGAGCTACATATACATATGTGGGGGAAACTTAGGATATTATCCTAATCGTTTTTTGTTTTCAATAAGTTGGTGATGCACTTGTCCCCAGATCTAGTAAAACAATTATTTTATTTTAGAATTGAGTAAACAAATTTGAATTCCCTAACTCATATATTAGCCAAAGAAAAAACCTATTTTATTTAATACATTTTCTTTTATTTTTTTAAAAATAATTGTACATTTATCCCTAATTTTTTTTTTTGACAAGTTAGTAGCTCGTAACTTAGTAACACATATAGATGCAAATGGTTAAATATACTAACCCCAAAGCATCCATACATTTCCCAAAAAAAAAAAAAAGAAATTTTTACAAGATTATGACCTTATTAATGGAGTTGCATGGTCCATTCTTTCCATTTATAGTTTTACCCCTTTAAGATGTGATCCTAGCTCCACCCTTGGCCTTGGATGGTGGTTAACTGATGTGCATGGGCCTAATAAACCTAGGCTAATAATTTTTGTATGTGAAGAATTAGTTGGTTGTTTAGAGTATGTAGTCCACGGTGGTGTATAGGAGAGGATTTAGTTTGATTAGGTCCTTTATGCAAAAATTGAATAGGGAAAGAGTCTCAAAAAGAATGATAGATTTCAACGCTTTTATTAGAGAAATTGAGTTTAAGGGCTCTCTTTTTGCAAACAATGTAATTGGTCTAATTTTAGGGAGAAGGATTTGACGTGTAAAAGTTTTGGTAGATTTTTTCCACTTTCGTTGTGGGTGGGAGGATTGTTTTTCGGGATGCAGACAAGAGGCTTTGCATGGAGTAGCTTCTGATCATTATCCATTGTTCTTTACATTTTTGTTGTTAGATGGGGTACGTGTCCTTTCAGGTTCTAGAACATTTGGCTTGAGTGTCATGCATTGAGGGAGAAATTTAAGGAATTATGGTCTTAGTTACGCTTCCAAGGTTGGGAAGGTTATAAGCTCATGAAAAACTTTGAATTTT